AGAGGAGACGCACTGTTCCGGTAGAGTGGCGGGGTCCACTTGCTCTTCTGTCCGTGCATTGGTGAGTTGTGAAGGGCCTTTAGATTTGCCAATCATGGCTAGGGTCGATCCTGCAATCAATTTGAAAAGGCCATTCTAGGTTGTTGAATCTGACTTTGATCATGGCTTGTTTCTGTAGTGTATGGAATGCAAACACTGACAAGGTTTGAGCAAAGGTTTTTGCCAAAGTTTTTAAATTTATGGAACAATTAAGACATTTTGTTGCAATTTTTTATTACTCATGCTCCAAATTTGCATTGCCTCTTTACACTGCAATTATTCTTTGCAATATTTTACCAGGTGTAAATCATTTGACCATGATTTTATCATTGTTGTGTCACAACAAAGTACATTGTGTACTGTGTTATCTCCCTTGTTTTTACTTTTCAAGAACAGCCTCAATGTTACCCAGACAGTGGCTTTCTGTTGTTGGTGGTTCGTATATACCTACAGCTGGTAACAATTTCTCCTGCAGTATCAGCTGCCATTCCAGCTCCAACCCTGCCTTCAGACATGATTGTGTTTAACATTCATAAAAGGTTTGCCACATCCCAGTTACTGATATGCCTATGGAAAAATTTCTTTCATGTTTATGCATGACTGACTGTAACATGTAGGTCTGTGGATGCCGTATTAATTGGTATAGGCAGGTCAGGGAAAGGCCAAGGGCTTTCCTGATTGTACCCTGGTTTGTCATAATGCTGTGTAGTTGTTGTTGTGCCCTTATTTAGCCTTGACAGCGGTTGGCCTCCACCATACCTTCAACTCTAACTCAGTGTAGTACGTGTTGTTTATTTAGCAGGGAAGCATTGTAAACAACCTTGAAAAGGTTTAAGTGGGAACAGCCTTGGAGGTATGGGTGTGTTTATTGAATGCTACAAAAGTGTAATCATCAAATTCTTTTGTTATTTTTATACGTTCACAAAGATGGCAGACTTGAAAAGTTAGTATGTTTCAGATATTGGTACTGGTTTGTAACAATCTGTATTTATAACTTGACAATGAGATACTTACCTGTTGTGGTTACCTGTGAAAGTTATCTAGGAATATGATATATTATATTGCAAGAATTTTTCATCATTTTTTTACTACCGACTATTGGAGTTGAGTCATTTCCAGCGTCACTGAAAGTATAAACAGTGATGTTTATGTACCACACAGGTACAAATGTAGGGTAATAGGAGGCCTAGTTCACTATGGTCCCTAAGGACCAACATGGGCTACTAACCTCGCTAATTGTACTGGTCTAATCTCCAAGCAGATATATGTTGGTATCCAAGACAGTATCCAATAGGCAACACAATATCCAATAGGATAACTATAACAGTATAAAGTTGATTGGGGTGGCTATAGAAGGTCACAGTCTTCCCAATCAGCCTCTACTTGCAGAGTAATACGGTCTGGCCATCAGTTTCAAGTCAGAATTATTGAATCTAGAGAGGGCCCAGGTGGACTGCATTACGATTGCAATAACTTCTCATTAAGACGAGACCGCCAATCATTCATTTGCAGGCAATTGAAGGAACTTTAAGTCAGAAAGTCATGCTTAAACTGATTCAGGAAAAGTTATCTAGGGTAAGCAGGGCTCGAAATACAGGGTGCATGTGCACCCAAAATTGGAGCTCAGCTGTGTACCCAATTTTTTTCTGTGGGTGCACTGGTGCACCCAAATATTTTTGTAGGTATTTTTGTACATTTTAAATGTACATGTATAATAGCATACGGGATATTCTTGGCATCTAACTCATTCTAAGTGTCAGAAAAATAATAAAACCTTTGTTGTAGTACTTGTTTAAGGTCTTAAAATTAGCTCCCATTTTAGATTCGATTAGTTTTTGTTTTAAATTCTGTGCACGTAATTTTTCCCAAAAACTATTCCCAAAACTGAATTTTGAGCCCTGTTAAGATAACTCTTACATTAGTGTTCTGTGGCTGTAAAATGTTGAACTTAAATACGATAAGAAATTGCATTGACCTGACATCCTTCATAATAAGAAACAGACTAGTCAGAATTGACATCTTGATTGCTACCCAGGGATCTCCCCAGAAATTTAGGACAGAATGGAGGAGGGTGCGAAATATCGGTAAATTTGACCAAAGAACCCTGGAAAAGGGTGTAAAAACACTAGTTTTGAAAATTAACAGGGTGGAGCTGAGATAAGGACTGGGTGGAGGAGCTCCACTGCTCCATTGTTTAGGGAGGTCCCTGCTACCTTTGTAGGTCAATCCTCTGTCTTACACATTTGTTATCATTTGGAGGAGTTGATTGAAGGACGTACATTGCTCGTGACCTATTTTGACCTTCCCTAAAGCACACGGTGCCATTGTACTTGAACTATATGCCATCAATAATTAAACTGCTGTTCGGCTTTCAAACAAAATTTGATGTGAATTGGGAGAGACATGGTACAATTCTGTCTTTAGCAGTAAAACACACACAACATTTGGGGCAAATGTATCAATTGTTTTGGCTTTGTAAGAAAGAGAATTCTGGGATCCAATCTGTATTTTATCTGAGTATGCCTTGTATTTGGATATGTTTGTTTTTACAATACCATGGCTGAACACATTTGAAATTGCAACTAAACATCAAGTCAATTGCAAGTGATAGGAAACCATTTAGTTCTCAGCTTGCTGATATACCTATATGTAGTACATGTGCATGGAGGTAATATCTTAAAACTTCATGCTCTAAGTCTAACAGTGTGCTATATGGTTCCAACTTCATATTACAGGCATAATTATAATTTTAGGACCTATATTTTCAAGTAGCACATCTATTGCTACCTTCTACAGGGCCTCTACTCTAGCTTACATTTTTGTAACATTGTGGTAACCTTGGGTGGAAGCACATTACCGCTGTTGAAAGATCTGCAGGAAGTACGTTGAGGCCTGCAATTTCCAGGGTAGACCACACATAGAGAATATTGATCATGACTAGGTTTATGTATGGTCTGGCAAGGCTGATACATGTAGCTGCAGAGTAGCCGAGTTGGAACTTGTACGTGAGCTGCATGGTAACAGGGTTTGTGACTTTCATTTTGCAACTTCCAAAGGAACAGTAAATTTGTTTTTGTCTTCAGAATTTTGTGCACAAGAAATCATAAAATTCTAAGAGTCCATAAATTGTTTTACAATGTTTGATATTTGGATTTATAGTACATGTGATGTATTTTTAAAGCATTGTGATGTTCTCCTCTTTTTTTAGGCCATATCTGAATCTGAAAATCTCTACACAGAAATAGCCGATACGCCTTTTATGTTTAGTACAGACTGTACTGTAACAGACTTCCTCGAGGCCAAGATTTTCACTAGTAAGAAAAACCCAAACCTGAAGAGATATGTAAGTGACCTGCAGGTCAGAAGTGACTACCATATATGTATGTAAGTAGGCCAAGGGTGAACTGAGGTAACCCACTAGCATGCATGACCTGACCTACCCTCAGTTGGTTATCCTGCATGCTAATACACAATGCCAGGAAATTTCAGTTATATTTGTTAGCTTTTAAATTTTGATTTGAAAGAATGAGACACCAACAAATCTTTCTATTGTTGCAAGCTAGAGTGGTGAATGTAAGTTCATAGATATAAAATTGAAGCTGGTGTGTTACGCCAAAGGGCGGTTACACTGGCTATACAGATACAGAAAATTCATAATGAGTACAGGGCTCCTCAAAATTCTCTGCATACCTGCACTGGTGCAGGTAATATGCATGTAATGCCGGATTCCTCGGAACATTTGTCAAGCAACCCTCAAGTAACTGGACCAGGTGCATAGATCTATATCGTGGACAGTACTCTCTATATTTATTCTCTTCTAGGCTTGTTTTAGTTTTCTTGTAAGAAGCAAGATGAAAGATGTATATTTTGTTATCTCTGCACAGTCCCATAGTTATATATTCACACATCATGTATTATACATGTATCATACTGTCATAGACTCGATGATGGAGAAAGAAGTTGCTCTTTCAACTTGCTCCTAAAATATATCTTTAAAGACAAGTTACATAAAGTCACAGGGCCCATTTGTGTCACTAAATTATCGTATTTATGGAGGACATTTCGGGACCTTTCAGCAAAAGGGAGTTGATTTTATTATCAATATGTCTTATTTATGTTTCACCGAAAGTTTAACAGGCCCATATATTTCCACAGCTTGTTCCTACCGTCTGAATGACATTTAATTTGGGACTTAAAATGTGGCACCTTTCATGTGCTGTTATGCCACCATCACTCAATGGAGCATGTCCTTCTAGTTCTATTGTAGGAAGATGAAATATGTGACAGATTTTTATCTAGCTAGCATTCAAATGAAGCAGGTGTTTTGGCAATGGAAGAGATATCTGATATTGATAAGCAACTCACACAGAATTTTGCATCTTTTCATCTTTACTCTTGGCTGGTTTTATTGCTGTTTTGATTGCAATGATATGGTATTGCAACCTGTGAAGTATGCAATTGGTTATGCGCTATAAACTTTTGAAGTTATGTGTTTCCTTGCATTCAGCCATTGATCCAATATCGTATATAGCAATGAAAAGTAGACTTAAAAGAGCATTGAAAAGGCAATGTACAGGGTTGTTGTAAATTAGCTTGATGCTAAGCTGCTTATCATTAGGAAGCGTATTGACAGTACACAGGATTACAGACACAGGTGGCATTGTGGTGGTTACTGGTGTACCTGGTAATACTACCCCCCCAGTAACACTGGAGATAATTACATTGTGCACAGTCTGATAAAGCCTACAGATCCAAAGTGGTGGGGTGGTGTCAGTAGGACAAGGACATCCACCCTGTGTGACATGCCCCAAATACTTGGACCTTGTTTAGGGCAGTCTGTCAGAGTGGGAAGGCACAAGCAGGGGAAGGGGTGTGTGAGTTAAGCCAACCTTTGGGGCCCTGCGAGAGTCTGAACCTTGAGATTTGGACCCTCGGTGTCCACGGTGTGAGCTGTGTATGGTTTGTCAACACTGATTCCGATCTTACATTCCTCCCTCTCCCCGAGCACTTATTCAACGATACAGCTACGTCCTTGCTTGATTTGTAGCCAAAGTAAATAAAGTGTCCAACAAGTCCCAGTCCGCCCCTTCCCCTTTGTAATTCTCTGGGAAGACGCAAACGGAAGTGCAATGGCAGGGAGTGAGTGTTCGGGGTGACAGCATGGTGACAACGTGGCTTGCCGACGCGCAGCAGAGTTTGTCTCCCCACCGCAAGGCTATCTCCTGGAGAGTTATCAGTGGTGTGTTTGTGTGAGGAGTTTCCTGAAGCATGGGTGCCTCGCTGTCTCAAGCGCAAGGTAGGCATGGCGGGGTGGACGCCGGCCTGGCCACGGGCGACCCCCTTTTCTCTGCCCTACTTCTGGGGACACATTTTGTGGGCTGTCTGGCTACAGGGCTGTGCCCTTAGGTTTGGGACAACATTTCATAAATCTTTCAGTTGTTTTAGAAAACACTAGGTTGGACAGGACTAAGTGTTGTAGGCCTGGAGAAGGTGGTGCAGTTAATTTGAGCAGTCCGTGCCAGATTAAAATCTGTTAATATGTGAACCGTGAAGTTCAGATATACTGTAGTGTTACATAAGGCAACTGTTACCCCAGATGACTCGGGTATGGCAACAACAAATTGAAATGAAAGTTTCTTCTGTACAGAATTAGATTTAGATACAACCCAGAGCGCTAAGTCCGTGTCAACTGGACACAAGAATTATAATCCCTTAATAGCTACATGGTTTGTTGTTCTAGAGTTACGGATGAAAATTTAAGGTGGAAATTTCCCATCTGTATGGCATGTGTACACAGTGTGGGTGTGGGTACCCTGTGCCAGCAACACTGACATGCGCTGACCCTTAGCAGCCATATTGTTATTTTATGAGTGGTTGTAAGCAGGCTTAGTGTTGAGCAGGGTCAAAGTCCACAGACGCTCTACTTTATGGTGTTTGTAAAAGTTTCCAAAGGTGGGAAGTTTTCAAGTTTGTCATAGTCTGTATGACTTATTTAATTCAGGGCTTACCCATTCTTTTTTCAGGTACTCACTGACTCACTAACAGGTTTTAAGACTTGAAAATTTACTTATCTATCATTTTATACAAATGAAAAAAATATCCACCCTACAGGGAATCAGTATAGTTAATAAATCATATCCAGAAGATTTTCACAGTGTTGATTTGACGGCACTTCAGTCTATATCTAGATCTTACCAAGTTTATTTCCAGGTTATGCACTAAGACTTAAAAATCTACTTGCCTATTATTTTATAGTGCTTTAAAAATATCTCTCTACCCTACAGGGAATCTTCATAGCTAATAGATTACATCCAGAATATTTTCACAGTGTTGATTTTGACGGCACACGTTAGTCTATAAATCACATGTTCGACCTTTGACCGCCTACACAATGTATGCTGGGTAGAATTCGTTGTGACCTGAGGCAGCCGTGGGGCATTCTCCAAGCAGAGGTTTGGGTTTGGGGTTATTTTTTTTATCAGGATTTTCTTTTGCACTGGATTATTTTTGTTTGGTGGGAAAAAAAACCCAGTGCAAAAGAGAAACCCGGATAAAAAAGCCTAAAAACATGCTAGAAATAACCCCAAACCCAAACCTCTGCTTGGAGAGTAGCCGCGGGGCATTCTTGCCTTTGTCACTCCCCCCTCCTCTCCCTGGGTGGGTGTTTATAATTTGTCACCTGTTGGACTTGTTTACCGAGCTCATTCCTGGCTAATGTCTATCCACAAAGATACTGTCGGAATCTAGAAATAGCCTGTAGTTTAGCAACTATTATGGGCACCCAGTGCCTGGACTTGACAGACATTATTATAACTACACATGGCAAATTATCAGTCTGTGAAATTACCTGTAGTAGTGACAATAGGTAAAATTCGTTGTGTCATACTAGCAAGTTATAGGGCTTGAAATACTGGGTGCATGTGCATCTTAGTGCACCCAATTTCGGAGCTTTGCGTCCAATTTTTTTCGTGCACCCAAATATTTTCGTAGGTTTAGGTAAAGATGTTAAATGTATAGTAGTATACAGCATATTCTTAACATCAAAGTGTCAAAAAAAAAAAAATCAGTCTTTATAGTACTTCCCTTTAGAACTGAAACATACCAGTAATTAGCTTTTGCTGACATTCTACTTATTCTATCTTTTTGTGTACCCATTTTTTTCAGGTTGGGTGCACCAGTGCACCAGATTCCCCAAAATGAATTTTGAGCCGGGTTAGTTTGAGTTCGGCTTGAACTCAGAGTAGGACTAAATATTTACAGATCTGACACGGACTGTAAGCTGGTGTAGCAGATGGCTTTAGTTAACAGGATCAAAGCCAAGTGCACTGATGATGTACAACATGTTTAGGCCACACCAATTTAATTTGTTGGTTCTCGGATTCGCCTCTTCATTTTTTTATGATTTGCAAAAAAAAAAAAAGATTCTGGTTCTGAATCAACTCAAAAATGCTCATATTTTGCCCCCAACAGTTGTGGAAAGTCCTTTTTTTCCTAGCTGTTGCAGTGTTTCCATCTATCAATGCAGTGGTTTGATTAAAAGTTCAAAATTCATTGTTTAAATATTAACACAACCTTTTGTGTTGACTTCATGGCTCCTATCATAGCATTTGGGGCTATAATAGAATGCCTAAACCTGTTTTTATTTTTATTTTTTTTCGCCCTGTCGCTTCATGTTTTTTCTGACAAAATCTGAGAACCAACAAATTAAATTGGTGTGGCCTTAGTAGATATGCTTCAACCTATCAGAGTCCTAGAGCAGTCTTATGCTGAAAGAAAGTGATTCACAACGTCCATTATTTAAGAATGGTTACTGATCCTACTAAAAGAAGACAAATGACGAGACTGCTCCAAATATCCTTCACAGACAGCGGAAACAAAGGAAGGGATGGTGGGGAATATTGGTCACATTTTTCAAGATTACGGTGGTTTCAGGTTTTAGCCTGCATAGTAAGCAGTCAACGGAAGATTTGCTGCTTTCCTGGCCTGGCCTCAATCCTTGTCAGGGCTATATCTACTAATGACAGTGTGGGCAGTATACATGTACAGTCTGGGAGACTTTGTACGTACAGGAAGCGATATTAACGCAGCCCTAAATAACCGTGCTTAAGTCTTCCCGATAATGTGCCGTGTGTGATTACAGGCTCTTCCGTTTCCATTTCCAAGGGCAATTCAATTTTGGCTCGCCGAGATCAAGCTGTTACTACATGAAAATAAGGTGAAATATTGGTACTAAAAGCTGTATTGGAGACCTTGTAGTTATAACTCTACCTGCTTCCTGAACTGCATATATAGTAGTAGGGACCAGATAAGTAATATTAGAAGCACTACGCAAGTGTGATACGCATTTGCATTCTTTGGGTGGATGCTGACTTCACTGCAGAAACTTTTTCATGCATTACCCTTGAATAACAATGTACATGTACTGTATACATAAAATGTATTTGTTGGTAGTTAAGTTGTGTCGAGTCACACCATTTTTTATCTATGTATATAATATAATACTGTATAGTATTGAATTGTTAATATTTAAACACCTTGGAAACCCATTCTACCTTGGTCATTGTAAGATGCATTTTATCAAGAAGGACTACCTGTCCAAATAGACAATGTTTTTCTTTGTCCCTGGATAGTTCTGACTGTATATGACTTCCATAATATTTTAGTACTAGATGACAAAATGGGGACTTACAATTGCATACTCTGTTTGAAGTAATCTGAGTCTGAAGTTCTCTGTCTTGAAAACTTGTCTTGCTGCCTACATCTGTCTCATACCAATGTTTCTCCTGTTTTCGCTGAATCCCTTGGTTGCCCAACCAGGTGATAGCTTACATGTAGTTTCATCGGCCTTAAATTTATACATACAGTTTCTACTCCTTTGACAGATGAAATGATTAGTACATGTCTTGCTGCCTACATCTATATTCTGCCAGATATAGTACCTGTTGAACGGATAGTACCTGTAGAATTTTTGATAGGCTCATATCAGCTAGTAATCTTATTATCTGCCGTACATTGTACCTGTTACAATTGTTGGGCAATAAACTTTGAGACTTGACTCAATCTTATACCATTGTTTCTTGTGTTTTCCCAGAATCCCTGGGCAGCCCTGGTGGTGTACCGGCACCAGCGTCCAGCACGACGTCCAACCCCACCACCCAGCACCAGCCCATGCACTACTCCGCACCCCCACACATCCCCTCCATGACCTCCTCAGGACCCCACATCACCTCCCCACCCCCCACCCTGTCCTCGGGACAGCCCCCCCTCACCTCCAACCCCTCCACCATCACGTCCCCCCACCTTGTACAGACCCCCTCCGTCCTGACGTCCCCCCACCCCCTACACCTGCACCCAGGCTTCGGCATGCCGGGAGTCAACCAGGTGTCCTCATCCATGCAGGAAGACGTCAAACCAGGTAAGGGAACAGGCAGGACAGACTGGAAAGGTTTTATTGAAGCAAAAAAAGTTCAGAGACTTTCTCTTTCATACAGTCAACTACAAAATAGAAATATGAATCATTTTTAATCTACTTACTAAACAAGAAGGAAGGGCAGGAAGCAAAAGTTGCTTATATAACACCTTCTACTCAAAAACATACAATGAGTATAAAACACATTGACGAGATACATGCATAATTACAGGGTGGATAAGTAGATAAATAAAAACAAGTCAAGTTGGTGATCTATCAATTATGAGAATCTAGCTGTACAGTAAATGAACTTTTGAACTGTATCGAAAATAAATTTCTGAATGATCTTCATGTTTTCTATGTTTTTCCCTAGTTATTAGTCAACTAGGACCCACCCCCCTGCAGAATGTGTCCCCCCACATGATGAACACCCCCCTGATGGTAAACACGGGTCAGCTCACCCCCCCAGCGCAGCCGCTCCAGTCCCCCCGCCCCTCCCAGACACCCATGGGCCTGTCCAAACACATCTGTCAGATCTGCGGGGACCGAGCGTCCGGGAAGCACTACGGGGTCTACAGCTGTGAAGGGTGCAAGGTTAGTTCCTCAGCCTCGCCTACTTTCTAACATTTCTGTACTGATGTGTTTATGTATAACTAGCCTGGGTTCCAGCCATTTTGTAACAGGGCTTCTTGCACTCGCTAACTCAGGCTGTGAGGGGTGCAAGGTTAGTAATCTGCAAGCAGATCCTAGGGTCGCAAAAACAGAGTATCAAATTGGCCATGCAGCATCCAATTGGCCAGCGAGGGTCCATAGGCGACCCAAGGCGTGGTGGTGGTTGGTGGGGGTAGTGACAAAAAAATTAGCCATATACAAAAAGCTAATGATAATTCCCACACAACCCCTGCTTGCAGAGTACAAGGTTAGGGCCTCAGCCTTGCCAGCTTTCAAACATTTCTGTACTGATGTGTTGATGTATGACTAGCCTGGGTGCCAGCCAGTTTGAAACGGGCCTTCTTGTACTATCCTGGTGTAGTTCAAGGAGCACTGTTACAAAACGGATGGTGCCTGTTACAAAAACGAATGGCACCCAGGCTAATGTATGACATCCTAAAACTAAAAGTAAGGAATTTGAAAAATAACCTATGCTAAAGCTTGCATTTTTATTATTGTAGATCAAGCAAAAGGATGATCATAAAACTTTTATAAAAGAAATTTAGTACAGTGTCTATATTAAGTACTGTACATGTTTCTTTCTCTTTAGTGTTTTTTTTTTTCAAACAAACGGTACAGATGGATGTAAATTATACCTGAATTGCATGGAATTGCTAGCCTGGGTGCCATCCTATTTGTAATGGCAACCCCTATTTTTTCGGGATTGCCGTTATAAATCGGATGGTACCCAGGCTATCGAATTGCAAGATGGACAAAGGAAACTGAAATCTGAAAAAAGCGTGTTTCAACCAAGCCCTTGTTTCCGTTTTTTTTTTGTAGGGCTTCTTTAAACGGACAGTACGTAAGGACCTGACCTACGCGTGTCGGGATAACAGGGACTGTGTGATCGACAAACGCCAGCGGAACAGATGTCAGTACTGCCGCTACCAGAAGTGTTTAGCCATGGGCATGAAAAGAGAAGGTTGGTCGTTTCTACACACACTTACTCCAACTTCCACAAATTTCACAGTTCTTGATGAGTGTTTGCCAATGCCATACCTACTGAGTTCTTTTAGCACACAGCATCAACCACTTTTTACGTATACCACCCAAGAAAACTACAGGTATCAAGAAACAAGTGTTGATATGAGTAACATATCATGAATCAGTTACAGATGGAAATGACTTTGTGGTGATAAAACTGATGCTAGCCACGTCATCAGGACTGTTCAAGCATTCAGTATTCATACATCTTGTGTAATATTATTATTGAATACACGTACAAGTGGCTGGTCTGTGAGCAATTTTTCTTGAGTAGGTGTGGCAAATGTGTTTTGTTCAACAAAGACTTGTGTTTTTCATGATTGTTGTTTTATTCTTCTTCAGTTCAAATATTTTGTATTGTATTGAAATGTGAGGGAAAATCTTGGATGTTATTAGAATTGTTGTTTTCTGTCAGTTCCTGTGATGAAAATTAAGTTCAGAATCTGATTTGCGATTAGTTTATTTAAAAGATAAAAGTTGGGTCTGTGTTTTATGTTTTATTACTTACAATATAATGACAAGCTTTTGTCATGTAGGTATAGTTTCTTTCAGTTTTTGTCCCCTTTGTTCAGATTTCAAGCCTTCTGTGAAAGAAACAAAAAAAAGAGTTGTTACTGTTGGCACTGTTGGCAATATTGTATTTTTATTTTTTCTATATATATTTTGTAGTGTAATTTTTATGACTGATATGTATCCCATCTATAAAGAGATGTTGATAGTAGTATAGTATTGTTTAGAATGGAAGGTATGTTTTATTTACCACCCCTGTCTCTGCATATCCCTGAGTTGCAAAAGGTGTAAACATATAAACGGTTTCTTGAAGATTTATTGTAAAAGCCAGGTCCCATGCAAGGTAGCAAACTGCCACACACAAGTATGGTAAAATGCTCTGAATTTCCAACATTCAGTCCCAAGTCGTTGAATGATGGAGACCAAAGCTAATCGATGGAAGGACATGTTTGATCATACCTTACGTTTGTGTGCTTGTTTACTGTGTATGGACTCTTGTTGCATTATATGTATACTCCTGTGTCTGAACCAAACCTTTTTAAATGCTCCTTTATGCTGCATTTGCATCTGGCAAGCCCCATGTCTTGTTTCTCATTGCTTGCAAGCATTTTAATATTTTTTTCTACCCCAGAATAATATTAGCATAGTTTTATTAAACCCAGAAGTATCTTTCTTTTTCTAAAAAAATCATGTGAAAATTACTTAGACTTCAAAATGATTGTGTATAAAATCATGCAATTTTGAAAAGTGTCAAGAATCAAAATGATTACATCTTAAATCACGATTAAAAATGAGAACTTCAATTGAAAGAGCCATTTTGATTTCAATCAAGTTTATGTATAAATGTATTGAGACATTGTGAAGGGGTCAGCAGACAAATAAAATTTAGCGAGTGATATTTTATGTTTTCTTTGCAAAAAAAATTGACTCAGTTGAATTTTATTTTCAAAAATGATAGATCTTTTAATTGCCACATTGATGCTTACTCCTTGCGAGAATGGATCTGTGTATAAAGTACAATGTATAATGAAGCATCATCTTGTTGACAGTGACACTTGAAATCAAAATGAGATCTAAGATGATTTGTGATATTCAAATCAAAAATACCACTGTAAAACTAGGGTTATGACTATAATCCCATAGCTTGCGTACTTGCCTTCTTGAGTAACCTGCTTTCTTTTTCTTATTCTTGAGCCCAGGGTAGCATGTGTTAAGGCCGAGCTTGTTGTTGTTTTTATTTTCTTCATTAACTGTTTGTGTTGTAGTTAAAATAAAGCAAACCTGTCTTCCCACATAGACGTACAAGACCAACGGCAGGGAAGCGGGAACAGTGGTTGGTCCATTTTTGATTAATGCCTTCTAGGATAGTTTGGTTCCTTTTACTGTAAATCCTATTATCATTGCTAGGTTTTCTTAACAAGTGATTTAGAGTGGAATTCAAATACAGTAACTACCCTTAGATTCAAGGATCAATCACGAAAATCTCTTTCCACAGCCCTTTTCAAAAATCACATATTCCTCCAGTAAAAGATAATATGATTTACAGTAGCTGGTTTCTATCATTTCACCACCAATGACAAATCAATTCTTCGAAAATAAAGAGAGAAATGTAAAGATTGTTTCTCCCAACTGCTTAGAAATAGAATGATGATCACCATTTTCTCTGGCTATTAACATGGAAGCTGAATACCTCTGTCAGAAAGTTTGTGTTCCTTGCATGGGGCCCTTTGCATAGCACCTTTGCGAAGGCATTCCTGCTCTTTCCTCTTCCCAAATTAACTGGTAATTTCACATCTTCATACATGTTCGTTAAATGTAAACCTATCCAGAAATCATCACATTTTCTTTCTTTCTTTCCAATTTCTTTGATCATAAACAGAGTAAGTAAGACGACTGACCTCCGAATCATCTGATGTCTCTAATTTCATTACCAGAAGATAAGTTGACATGCGGAGTGATTCCCAACCTAGTGTGCCTGTACTGTAGCTATCCACTTGTTCCTTCTACCCTGCCAAGCTCTGTCTCCAGACAGCAGCAATTTCTACCTTCCTCTTGTTTGTAAACAGCCGTGCAGGAAGAGCGACAGAGAAGCAAAGAGGGGAAGGATGGAGAGGTGGTCAGCACGACAAACCCCAACGAAGACATGCCTGTGGAGAAGATACAGGAGGCTGAGATGGCTGTGGAACCTAAGGACGGAAACCTGGTCGAACAACCGGTAAGTGGAACATCTCCTCTGTACATGTTCACTTAACCTTTAGCATGCTACATGATTGTATGTTAATACCTAGCACTTAACCATTACCATACTACATCTAACAAGTGTGGACAAGGATGGCAGGAAAATTAGTTTATGATCTCTTTTTTCATCCTTTTCCAAAAATCTTGAGTTGAAGACCAAAATTTCCCCCAACTAGTGCAGAAAATGTCGGCAGTGATATCTGTTGAGACCAAAGTAAAGTTACTTTTTATTACAGTATTTGCAAGAATTTCTGTTCTTTACTTGTCCCCAACAGTATTCAAAACTCACAAGTCATGATCCCAGAAATATTTCCAAACCATTTTCTTGGAACTGTGAGATACAGTCAACAGAACAAAATGTCTTCTGTTGTTCAGATGATCAGAGAAAATTATGTCTATGACAGCTGTAATCATGCACACAGTCCTACTTGTTCAGCAGACCTTGGTATTTGTAATCGACTTTAATGACTGAATATAATGCATGAAGAAGAAAATCTATTACCACAATATTCATTTCACATCCGTGCCTGGAAAAAAATCCAATTAACATGTCTTGTTATGAAAGAAAAATCACATACATGTAGACATTTTATGTCATTTGTAAATACGACAGTGTCAAAAAGGCATGAATTGGGAACAAGAAGGAAGTTGACATAGATAGCATTAAATCAGTTTTGTTTTTAAATTGTCACTCTTGGAAAATTGGTGTGTGGTATGGGCTCACAACACGGAGATGGTTTACAAGATAATCTCTATCAGTCGTGCGACTGTTGATGTCTGGAACTTTTGTTTGGTTTGACCCAACAATATCCTGCTGATTTATTATGATAGGAAAGAATTGACATTTTGCTATTTGTGACTGCTTTCCAGATATCATATCAGATCCGTATCAGATTCTAACCTTCTCCTTGTTTGGGCTCCGTTACTTATTAAATTTGAGTTACTTACAATGAATGTAAGAAATGTAACATTGTAAAATGCTAACATTGTGTGATCATAGACTCCACCCTAGATGTATAGTACTGTAGATGTAGCTGTAAGTTCAGGGGAATAAGGGCACACCTCAGATGTAGATTAAATACTGGGAGAGCCAAACCTGTACCACAGCTGAATGTTGACAGAGTTTCTGTCTTTTTGTTTCTGGTTTCTTGAGGCTGCGAGTCCGACACAGGAGGTAAGGAACCTTCCACAGGTTTCTCTTCCAGGTCCTACTGTACGCTCTCTACAAAACTGTTCGCTTTTCGTTAGTCCTGCTGTGCTTGCCACTCGTAAATATGAGAAATTGAGACACAATCTGTTGTAGTTTCCCGCTTTCCGCATTCGTAAAAAAGCTGAAATTAATGCATTAAGGTTAATTGTGTTCTGTAACTGTATAAATCATGTAAATGTAATCTGCTGGAGCTATGTTGTCATCTGTGCACCTCTGTTTCTGTCTCCTTTTGTCTGCGTATTCACTCAGTCTTGTGAAAATGATACAGTAGCTGAAGGGCAAACCAAGACTGAGACATGACAATTGTAGCCTGCAGCTGTAATGGTTCATCTGGTAGCTGCATAAATTTGCATTATGCTGAAGATCAACTTTGATTTCATAGGGAATTGTTTGAACAAAATTTAGTCTCGGATTGTAGACAAATATGATTGTTGATTTTATAAAGTATGAAATCGTGCTTCTTGATAAATCAGTCTGAAGAAGGAGATGCAATATGTATTGTATTGTACCAGAAAAGTGTTTTATTGATGAAGAAAATTTTTCCATTCATGATAAATTGGTGTTCAACTTTGCATTTTGCTTGCTATGCTTCAAGCACGATGAGTTTTGAAATTTTCATTCAATCTTATCTAATTTGAAGCAGACAGTTCTTGTACTGCAGCCAAGTTTCGAGCAGTAATTTTGATCTGGGAAGGGATGAAATAATTTAATATTAGATTTAAACATTGCTGGCTCATTTTCACAAAGTGCTTGTAATCAGCACCAAATTGCTTCTTATACGCCGAATAAACATGCAACAGGGTATTTGTTCTGGAGCTTAATATGAAATTTTTCTTACTTTCCAAGAAAGTGCCACATATCGCGTTCAACAGCGGTCAGTAAGAGACATGTTTGACCAGTAAAATTTGGTTTTGGTTGATAGAACTCCTTGAAAATGTTTGAATTAAAAGGCAACAAAGAGTGTGATATCCTTCACATAGCCCACCAGATGTGGATTTTCACAGGAAAATAATTTGATAAGGCACACAAAAAAGGCAGCACCCTGTGTGGTATTAATAGTCTCCAAAGAGTGTCCAATACCTTGCCGCATGGCCTGGAGGATAATAATGCTGGTGTAAGTTTCTTGAGTCTCTTGAAAGGCAGGCCTAGGTAAAGCCCTTTGTTTTTTCTTCTGTGCGTCTGTAAAAAGCCGTCCTTTAATCTTTGTTGAAAGGTCAGATGTTTATGCATAAAGGCCTTACTTTATTTTATGTAGCAACCAGCACTGGTATAGGTAATAAGACACTATAGCCCCAGGCACAGTGTACATGCACAAATATACTGTAGTACTGAAAATTTTCACCATCATGTGTTATAAAAGCTGAACTTACCATGAACATTCTAAACTTATTCACTGCTTTTTTGGGGGTAACAAATGTTTATAGGTTATTTAAGAACCCTAGATGCGAAAGATTATTTATGTACATAGCATGTAAAGATTTAGATTTTATGTAAATTTACAATGTAAACTGCCCCTCAATTCGTATGTGCATCGCATGTAAATTGTCACTGACTAACATCACAATAAGCCTAAATAAAAATCTGCTGAACACATTACATTCTAGTATATACATTCACATCTGACAGAAAATTACAGTAAAGGTGGAGTAACCATAACACATAGACAGGGTGCCCTTTAACCTTTTCCAGTGCAGCTGTTCTACAGAATCATCACCACAGGCAGATTTCTGTATTTAGAACCAGTTTTCATAGTGAACCTGTGGTGCAGGAGGTTACATTGTAAAGATGCCTTTTCTACTTGTATTTGATGATTAAGTTACAAGTTTTCATACTGACAGGACTTCTTGTGTGTGGTCTGTCGGATTAACTGTCAGAAACAGGAGAAGGAAAAAATGAATGTATTGATGGGATAGGATTTAGTTGAGGTTTAAGTTAAGCTGTAGTCTGCTATTTTTACCGTCTCCCGTGTAGCCTTTTGGTACTGAATTTGTTTCATGGTTAGGCAATAGATAGGTTGGAGGTTTTGAAAACAACAAAAGTACAAAGTATGATGTAAAATGTTGGTCTAAAATCAAGACTGGATTATTTTTTCTCTGATATCCCAAGCAGTCTCACTAACATGTAATTAGAAGTTTAGTAAAGCTTGCTATTTTAGCCTTAAGAAATATATTGGTCAGGTCTTGATTGTTAAGGTTATAAGTCCTTTCTTATCATTAAGAAAACCCAACACACAAAGACTTTAGCTTGATGCAAAATAATTCAGTATCTTGCTACTAGTCACTAAGGTGAATATTATTGGTGAAGGGCTGTCCAACACATGCTAACTGTGGCTTACTGCATGTTCAGGCTTAACTGTACATCTCAAGTGTGTTACCGTCAGGTGTGAACGTCTTAAGGTTAAGATTTTACTTGTTCCCGACAGAACGACCCGGTGACGAACATCTGCCAGGCGGCTGACAAACAGCTGGTGACGCTGGTGGAGTGGGCCAAGCGCATCCCGCACTTCTCCGACCTGCCCATAGACGACCAGGTCATCCTACTTAGAGCAGGTAGGAAATCTTCCTTGCATCCATGTCTCAAGAAGGCTAGCCGCCCTTTCTTCTCATAATCTGTACATACATATATTTTAATGTTGAGTACCGGTAATGTGGAATGTTTAAGAATCGGGTCATCCTACTCAGAGCAGGTGAGAAACAGTGCTTAGTTCTCACTAGGCTACTATAGTATTTGAGTACAGGGGCCCCTTATGCTGTGATTTGGACCCCCAATGCTGTGATTTGGACCCCCAATGCTGTCTTTCAACCAGCATAGGGGTGTTTTTTGGAGGGAGAACCTTCATAAATCTTGCAAAAAATGAAAATACAGCATTACTTTAGAATGAAGCTTATAGCAAAGGGAAAACCATAACTTCACAAAATCTGTCCCTCAATAAGTGAGAAATAGAGTCTCAGGGGGATATGAGTTTCAAAATGTTTTGGTTGTCCTTCTGTACCTGATCCCTATGCTGTGAAAAATCCTGGTGAGTGGCTTTTTTTCCCCCATGTCTGTTCATTTAATGTCAAGGAGGCTATCCGGCATATCCGCCATTTCATAATCTGTATATACATATATTTTCATATTGATTAATTTGTGATGTGTGATGTTTATGTGTAAGAGAAATGTTTATGTTGTGCCCCACATCTCACTTGGAATATCCAGTCCTGGTATCCATGTACCCACTTTCCTATGGCTAGTATCTATACCTATTCTTGGATAGTATCTATTAATACCTGTATCATTATCCACGTGATTGGCATGGAAAAAAAGTTCTGG